ACAATATATTATTCCACAAATAAAACAACTCATTGAAAGAAGAATTCGTATTAAAGATCGGCAGTCTAATTGCATGGTTTTAATAAATTTGTTATTTTCTCTAAACTGAAGAAGCTTTCCAGTGCAATTTTCATTTTTTCCTGAACGAAGTTTTTCTTATGGCAACTTTTTACATTTCTCCTTGCTATCTAACAAATATTATAACACAATTTGCGTATTATTTTATTTCCAGACCTTGAATTTATTTGCAAAATAAAATTGTAATAATTTTAACGTGTCAACATTTCTGTTATCGAGTTATAATTCGTACGCCACCGGCGTTTTAAACAATCGCCGTGCAATACGAAACGCGAAGTGACATAATAACACCGTAACACGAATTAGGCAGACCGAGCGCGGCCCGTGATGCAATTAAGCAACTTCCTAGGCTTATCCTGATTGTTACAAGTGGATGGATGATCGCTGCTGCTCTTCGATGCGTTCGCTTCTTTTCCGTGCAATCAGGTTGTACACGATTATTGCATTAACGTTCGCTAGGATACACGGCAAGCCGAGCTCGTGGGTGGCCTCGTTACTCTGAAATAATTGTCCGGCAACTTAAATAAACCGTTGGTTTGTACACCTGATTGCAGCGACGGTTTCGCAAACCGACTAGACACCTTATTGTTTCCTTGTGAACAACCTTTAAACCATCGCCGGTTTAGCGAAGCCGCTTTAAATTCACCTCTAATGCGATTGTCTTGTTGCGACAGATCATGGTCTTCGGCGTTTTCGGTTGCAGACTGCGCTTCGCCGAAGTGCAATCGAGCGTCTTCCGCGGAATACGGGAAAATTGCATCGCGCTTTCGATAAACGTCGATTTCGTTATTCGCGCGTAACTGTTTTATTTATATATTTTATTTATTTATTTTATTATATAATAAATATTTAATTTATATATTTTTATATATTATTATAATATATTATTTATAATATTATATATATATTATTATATATATTATTTATTTATTTTATTTATATTTTATTTATCAGTAATCATTTAGCAACAGTTGTGTTGGGAGATTAAGTTTATCTCTCGTGGAAATCTTTTTAAAGAATCGATAAATTATTCATACTTCGAAAACCTGCCTATATTTTCAAGTATAAAAAAATCCTTTACAAAGTAGAGCTACTACTAATTCGAACGTTATCTTTTATATTTGATATCGCATTGAAAATGTTAATATATTAATTCACAAGCAATTACGAATAACTGTAAATAATTGCATACATCGTCACTGGTAGCTAATTTAAGACAATTTTCCGAGTGACGGGATAATATTATCTGAAAATGTAGAGATGTACTTTGTAATTTTATTTTTAATTCGTTAAATTCTGTTCGAAGAACCGAGCCAACAAAAAAGCCGAACGAAAATGTTCAGAATCTATTTGAAATCGATCAACGAGATGTACCTATTGTTAGGAAGATTATTTAACCGCAAGTGTGTTGAAAAATGTCTAAAAACCTCCGTCACCGCTATTCTCACTAGCATTTCAGTGCACGCTTATTTTTACCAAATTAATTTTGTAATCGCCGTAGGAAAGGTTAAGAGGTCAATCGTGGAGAAGTGATCGAACCTAGCAGATCATTTCCAACTGAAACAATAGAACGCGTTTCTCGATCCCGTCGGTGAAAATAATGTTCAACTAAGAGACTTGAAAAAATTGTATTTTGACCCGTTCGTTAAAACATAGCGTGGAAGTTCGAATTTCGCTGCGTTCGACTCACCGAACCAAATACATAATACTTAAAAAAAATCAGGGCTCCGGTGACGAAACGGATCAGCGATTTTGAAGGAAACTGGAACTGCCGTCGCGATTATGCCTGTGTATATCGCTCGTCGGTGAAAATAATGTTCAACTAGAGACTTGAAAAATTGTATTTTGACCCGCTCGTTAAAAAATAGCGACGAAATTCGAATTTCGCCGCGTTCGACCCGCTGAACCGAATACATAATACTTAAAAAAAATCAGGGCTCCGGTGACGAAACGGACGATAGCGATTTTGAAAGAAACTGGAACTGCCGTCGAAATTATGCCCGTGTATATCGCCCGTCGGTGAAAATAATGTTCAACTAAGAGACTTGAAAAATTGTATTTTGACCCGTTCGTTAAAAAATAGCGTGGAAGTTCGAATTTCGCCGCGTTCGACCCGCCGAACCGAATACATAATGCTTAAAAAAATCGGGGCTCCGATGACGAAACGGATCAGCGATTTTGAAGGAAACTGGAACTGCCGTCGCGAATATGCCCGTGTATTAGAATTCCAGCGGCATACGATAAAATTATCTTCAAATCGAAAGCGAGCAGCGTGCGCTGGGCCAAGCGCTCGGTTGCGAAACGAGCGCGGGCGCGCGCGCGCGCTCTCCGTCCCGATAAGCTCCTTTCGTGGCACAGCCCCGCGCAGAAGAGTGTCGCCTATTGCAGCGTTCTTGCATACAATTGCCGAGTGCAGTGCCGTGAGCCACGTCGTCGATCGTCCTGCTCGGTCCCCTCGCCTCTGTGGTAACGGCCGTGGAAACGCTCCGCTCCGACATTGCTACTTGTATATGCAAATCGCGGCTGGTTAACCCGACAAATCTGAACGGCGAACGAACCAGGGAAATGTGCAGGATCTAGGGGAACCACCTGTCCGTCTCCGTGGTCCCTTTCTGTCGGCGAACGTACTTGAATCGACCGTAGTCGCTGATGCGTGAGAATGTTCTCCAGAGGAACCAGCGAAAGGCGCTTCGGAGCCGAATTCGACGTCGAATTCGAGAATCGAATTCTAATGCAGCGAGACATTTCGCTTCCCCGCATTCGGGAAATTGTTTTTAATTAGCCATCGATAACGATGTATGCGATTATTTACAGTTAGTTGCAGTTGCTTGGGAATTAGTATGGTACGTTTTCAACTGTAAAATAAACTGAAATGTAAAATATAAAAAAAAATTGTAAAATAAACTGAAAAATAAATAAAACTGAAATGTAAAATATACAGGATAAATTTCGAATTAATAGCTCTATCTTCTAAGGTATTCCATAGGTATTCCAAAATCCAAATAAATTGAGTCTCGTCAAGTTCAGTATTCAAGTATAAAAAATATCTCTTATAATATGTAATATATAAATATCTTATAATATATAATATATAAATATCTTATAATATAATATATAATAATAAAATCTAATATATACAGTAATGTCTCTCTAATTGACGGCTCAAATTGTCCACAAAAATGGACAATTCGAGCGTCAGTTAGGGAGACATTACTGTATATATTAGATTTTATTATGATATATTATATTATAAGATATTTTTTATACTTGAATACTGAACTTGATAATACTCAATTTATTTGGATTTCCCACCAATCTTATTATAATATATAATATTGTATATAATATTATTGATAAAAAATGGTTGAAGTCTAAGTAAATTCAGTCTTGTCATTTTTATGCAGTAACACGTGTCAGTTGCTTTTAACGCTTGGTTTGTAATATTGTGATATTATAATATTATATTATAATGTTATAATATTCTTCTTCGACATAATGTCGAGCATAATCGCTTCGTGGGCGATTTCCACAACTTTTGCATGAGTTCGTTCGATGAGTTTCACTCTCTAGCCGAAGGTGTAGAAATTACTTACCCAGAAGCATTTTGCTTTCAGGTAATTGGTTCTCCTGGAACTATGTATAATACATTGACTGCAGCTGCGCAGTCTGCAGGAGTGACGTCTGTTTATAATATTCTGAAAATTGCTTCTGCCTTTTCGAATTGCCCGCGAATGTGTTTGCAATTAACCGTAACAAATTGGTATAATTTTTGTTCGTGACTTCTACGCACGTTCAATATTGCCTAAAACGTTTATTCGCTGAAAAAATCGTTTCTTCGTCTAGATTGCTTACGAAATTTCATTCAATCATCGTGCAACCAAAATCTGTTTTGATGCACAAAATTAATGTGTTACCACTAACTGTCCGAAATAGTACAATTATTTTCTTATCGATTCCTTTGTCTTACTTTTATGTAAATTTTATTTGTCATTTTTATTACACACACACACACACACATCTTATATTAGATTTATATCTAAAAAAAAAAAAAATTTTATATATAAAATTTATAAAATTTATATCTCAATTAAAAATCTCGCCTTTTCTTTTGTTCCAGATTTAACGTCGCATCGACTACCAGGTAATTGGTGATAAAAGTTCTCGTTATTTTAGATCAAGAATATATCTCATTAACTTCTTGAACTTCTTTTTTCCAACTTCTTTTTTCACAAGTCGATGTTTATTTTTCGAAAGATGTACTCTTAATAAAAAAATTCAGAAAAGAAAGAAAATATATGCATCTAAAAAAGCGACGATTGAGTTAGCAGTGCCAATATTATTACTGGATTTCATACTTATGTCAAGGTTATGTCAAGTTTTCCCACTTCTTTTCATAAGTCGATTTTTATTTTTTGAAAAATGTACTCTTAATGAAAAATTCAGAGAAGAAAGAAAATATATGCATCTAAAAAAGCGACGATACAAATACAAATCAAATGCAGTCAAATGCAAAACAGTATAAACATCTGAAGAATTTCGAAACACTACATTATTTTCCATTTCAATATAATAATTCAAGAAAAATAGAAATATCAAGCTTCCACGTTTCGCGACGCAACGCGAACAGTTTTTTAACTCGCACAAAAATCGGCGCTCCGTCGCACGGACGGTCACCTGTATGAAATTTCGAAGGGATGACCCGCGGTTGATAGAGCACCGTTGGGTTCTCTAAAAAAAAAAATGTTTGCGTAATTTCTGACGATTACCGGGCCCGGCGAACCGCGGCGCACGCAACCAACCGCTCCGGAATACCATTTCAATTCGCTTAATGCGATTACGTGCCCGCTCATCGCTCTCTCCACATGTTACACGTCGGCTTCATAATATTATTCTGGGCTGGTGCAACTGGTGGCCGTTTACGCGATCGTCCGCGAACCCGCGCACGCATCGCCGCTGTGTTTACACGCGATCCGATACGATTTTTAATCTCGCTTGTACACGGTGCAACGGTTAAAAGTATGCAGCCGACCGAGCTAATTAGAGTATGACGCTGGCCGGTAACTATCGCGTGGAAAGAAATAAAAAAAAAAAGAAAAAGAAAAGAAAAATAATCACGAAGAGCTCCAACGAAGTTGATCTCTATTGGCGCCGTTATTCATCGGATCGTTGTAGCCGGTTGCGATATCCCCGGCTTTAATTAATGATGTGGGCATTAATGGGAATCGACTTTCGATGAAATTGCTGTACGACTATTTCCCTTTCGAACCGAGCCGCGGGATCTCTCGATCGGATTAATATACGTACGCGCGAGAGTTTCGACAGACACCTCGCGCGCGAACAATTATGCGCCAAAGAAAGCGAGAAAAGAAACGAGCGAGCGTCCTTGATTGCAAACCGAAAACCCCTAATATCGTAGTTCACGTTCGCGCTTTTACTCGACGTTTGCTCTCTTTTAGTCGACAATGCGCTTTGCTGCTGCTGCTGTTGCTGGTCCGCGCCGATGCACCTTTCTCTTTTTCAATTAATGCAATTTAATATGCCGGGATGTTGCCGCAACGCGTTGGGAAACGTAATTGTTGTCCGGTTCCTTGTCGCAACGCTTCATTCTGCTCGAACGTTTAACGTGTATCGCAATTAAAGCGAACACCTGTACACCTGTTTCGTTCTCTTCGAGACTTTCGATGCAATTTTTTGGTAATACAGTAAATTCGGTCGAATTTTACTTCAGGTTCTAAATAGAAATGGACAATTTGGAACTGGAGATATGATTGCAGTAAATAGTCTCTAATTCGCACTCAGATTCCGCACGAAAGTGGATAATTTGGGAAGAGGGGATACGATTGCAGTAAATATTCTCTAATTCGCGCTCAGATCGCACACGAAAATGGAGAATTTGGAAACAGGAAATATGATTGTAGTAAATACTCCCTAATTCGCGCTCAGATTCTGCACGAAAATGAACAATTTGGAAACTGGAGATATGATTGTAGTAAATACTCCACAATTCGCGTTCAAATCGTGCACGAAAATGGACAATTTGGAAACAGGAGATTCGATTGTAGTAAATTGTACGTAATTCGCGCTCAGATTTAATTATTGTCTTTCAATTAAGTGGGCCGGAATGTGATTATTTAGTGGGCGATGCGATTAAAAAAGGTCTTCCTCTTTTCGATAATTTCGCGGATTCGTACCTTTCTTTAGCACAGCAATTGTGCTAAAAAACAATTTAGAACAATTTAAATGACCAATAATCTAAAAACTGAAACCTGTTATTGACAATGAGCCTATGAAATTTGATGTGCACTTTTCTCTTATCGATTCACACTAATATTTTATGGCAGAGGTTATGTCAACAGAAGCAGATCATTATTCGAATAATGATATATTGATATATTGTTGCTTTACTCGATAACGCGAAATAAAGCACGCAAAAATTAATTACAAATAAAATAAATAAAATTTGATTCGAACAACATTTCGAACATATCCCGTAAACAAATACTTCGAATACAATTTAACTCGACCAATGCTTCGAATACAATTTTAATCGTTCCTCGTTCTTCGGATGAAACATGCCCAACCCTAACTTCGTTCCAGTATCAATATCAATATAAAAAAAATATTAAGAAACAGCTCTTCTTAGACTTCCATCTTCTTATTTCCTTGATATATTGTTGCCCTACTCGACAACGCGAAATAAAGCACGCAAAAATTAATTACGCAAAATATGTAGCAATATCTTGAGATCGTATCTTCTGCACACGCGTTGCAAGAACATAAACGCACCATTTGTAATGCTCGGTGCCAATTTGCGCTATCGATGGTCGATAAATCTCATAAAGGATTGCAGCGAAAGATGGAATTTTCATTCGTAATCCGGTGGACAAGCGAAGACGAATGTTTTCTCTGCGAGGAGCAGGGAAACGCGTTCTATCACGTTCCTCTTTTTCTAGGTGGCTCGCGTTGCGTATCGGAAGGTCTCCCGATAATATCGTTACACGACGGAGCGATGTAAACTGCCCTAATACCTGATCGAATGATACCGGTGATTATCGAGCGCGTAATTGGCCGCCCTCGGACGTGTTAATATGTAAAGTAAGAAAGACGGCGCGCCGGGGAGGAAGACGGGGGGGAGGGAGAGGGGATGTGGAACAAGGTTGTTACAGCGGAATTCAGATCGTGCTGTTGGTAATCGACGATGTTTACAACTTAATACATCATCGGGAACCAGGAGATACATCGTTGTCGTGTAAAACATTCCCGTAATTAGATTAACCCACGATTTTACGATTCGTAATTAGTTTAATAACTTTCACGGCCGGGACACAGATTTCATCGGTATCTTCATCTTTTTTGGCTTTTTGGTATCTTGGCTTTTTTCGGTTTCTTTCACTATTTTTTCCTGTTAACTGTTCTTCGATCAGTCACGAATAGATTTTACGCGCCTACGACAAGAGCGAGTACAGTAAATCCTCTCTAATTGACGCACAAGATTGTCCACAAAAATGGACAATTTGGGAAGAGTGGATACGATTATTCGAGTCATGCGGCTCGTTTTTATAGTTACCAATTGTCAACTATTATGAAAACGAGCCGCGAGGCTCGAATAATCGTCTCTCCTTTTCCCAAGCTTGTTTACAAGCCGAGGAACAATTGCAGAGAATTTACTGTAATTTACTTTCACGCAGTACATGAAAATGTAAATTGAATTCCGTGGTGAATATTTTCCTGTATGTCCGCTCATCGACACGTGGGAATGACACGTTCGTGTCATCGCTTACTGCACGGCTATCCGGCACAAATTCTTTGATAATAGCGAAATATACAGTGGCTCGAAAGTCAGGGAGAATAATCAGGGGTAATAATAATTAGGGCTCGAATAATATATCGTATTTCCTCTTTCCAAATTGTCTATTTTTGTTTACCAGATGAAGGAAAATTAGAGAGAATAATTAGGGCTCAATAATTAGAGTTAGAATAGTTAGGAGGATTTTAATAATATTAAAATCGTATCCCCTATTCCCAGATTGCCCATTTTGCTCCACGGCTATCCGACACAAATTCTTTGATAATAGTGAAGTATACAGGAACTCGAAAATCAGGCAATAATCAGGGGTATAATAATAATTGGGGCTGAATAATTAGGGCTCGGAATAATTAGGACTCGAATAATCGCATCTCCCCTTCCCAAATTGTCTATTTTTGTTTACCAGATGGAGGAAAATTAGAGAGAATAATTAGAGCTCGGAATAATTAGGACTCGAATAATCGTATCTCCTCTTCCCAAATTGTCTATTTTTGTTTACCAGATGGAGGAAAATTAGAGAGAATAATTAGAGCTCGGAATAATTAGGACTCGAATAATCGTATCTCCTCTTCCCAAATTGTCTATTTTTGTTTACCAGATGAAGGAAAATTAGAGAGAATAATTAGGGCTCAATAATTAGAGTTAGAATAGTTAGGAGGATTTTAATAATATTAAAATCGTATCCCCTATTCCCAGATTGCCCATTTTGCTCCACGGCTATCCGACACAAATTCTTTGATAATAGTGAAGTATACAGGAACTCGAAAATCAGGCAATAATCAGGGGTATAATAATAATTGGGGCTGAATAATTAGGGCTCGGAATAATTAGGACTCGAATAATCGCATCTCCCCTTCCCAAATTGTCTATTTTTGTTTACCAGATGGAGGAAAATTAGAGAGAATAATTAGAGCTCGGAATAATTAGGACTCGAATAATCGTATCTCCTCTTCCCAAATTGTCTATTTTTGTTTACCAGATGAAGGAAAATTAGAGAGAATAATTAGGGCTCAATAATTAGAGCTCAGAATAATTAGGACTCGAATAATCGTATCCCCTATTCCCAAATTGCCCATTTTTGTTTACAAGCTGCAAGAAAATTAGGTTAAATTTACTGTACTTCCTTTCAGTCATGAATTCAAGTCGTTAATTTAATTTAATAAAACCCTATATACAGTGACTCCCATGAATATTCGGACGCTTTTCAAAACGCAATAACTTTCTTAAAACTAGAATAAACGATTTGAATTCTTTTTTTAGATGACAGAGCGATTAGTATATTAGACAATGACTAAACTAGTTTCTGTTGCAATTTTGTTATTACTTGGAACGAC